AAAAAAATTAAAACGTTACGGTACCAGGTTTTCTTAAGTACCGGTGGTACCGAGTACCCGGTCAACCCGGTTCTTGATGCGCTAAACGAAAGCTAGCCTCTTCCAGTGTTGCCAAGTCCGCGGTTTTCCCGCGGAATTGGGCTGCTTTAACACTGTTGCCACGGGTTGTTTTTCATGTCCGCGGGTTGAAAAACGACCACACTAACGTGATATTTAGCCCCTGGAATGTGAATTTTACCAGGGGAACCCCGCTAAAACATGCGTATTTTATCCTCGGAACGTGAATTTTAACAGGGGACCCCCTCGAAACGCGATTGGGCGGGTTTTGTAAACAGACAACAGTTTACAGATGTTTTTCAGTGGCAGCAGAACTATTACTAAACTTTTGGGTGAAACTTGTTTACTTTTTTCATACTTTTATTACTTGTGGGAAAACTTGAAACACTTTTAAATAAGTATAAAGAATGGCATTGGTTTTGTACATTTAATTTTTGTTTAACATTATTAATAAAAATGTTGTTCAATTAGAATGTTTTTGTGTTTTGCTTTGGTACCGAAACTGGTACCGAGAACTGTGGATTTTCACTGGTATTGGTACCGAATACTGAAATTTTGGTACCGTGACAACACTAAGTACAAGTAAATATTCAATACAGGCCAATATACATCTAATATTCCAACCAATAAAAATAAACCTCTAATATCATCTGATAACAAACGTGACCCTGGAGCACAAAACCAGTCTTAAGTCGCTTGGGGATATTTTTAGCAATAGCCAAAAAAACATTGTATGGGTCAAAATTATCGATTTTTCTTTTATGACAAAAATCATTAGGATATCAAGTAAAGATCATGTTCCATGAAGATATTTTGTAAATTTCCTACTGTAAATATATGTAGACTTAATTTTTGATTAGTAATATGCATTGCTAAGAACTTCATTTGGACAACTTTAAAGGTGACTTTCTCAGCGTTTAGATTTTTTTGCACCCTCAGATTCCAGATTTTCAAATAGTTGTATCTCGGCCAAATATTGTCCTATCCTAACAAACCATACATCAATGGAAAGCTTATTTATTCAGCTTTCAGATGATGTATAAATCTCAATTTCAGAAAATGTACCCTTATGACTGGTTTTGTGGTCCAGGGTCACAAATATGGCACATACATATTGTGTACTCCTACTTCAGTGAAAGAGATCAAAAAAGAAATTCATACCTATTCCTGCTGGAACAAATTCCTCTTGGATTTATATTTTGACCACTGCTCTTGGTAAAGCCTAGGATTTATTTCTAGACTTAACGATACACATTACATACAATCACTGTGGCCTTATTACCAAACTAACTGGCAGTACATTACCATATACTGAGAAACTTCTGCATTCCCTCACTTCCTTTTTTTGCCAGCAAATCAAAGACATATGACTCCTGCAAAATTTACATGCATGAAACCCTAAAGCATTTACCTAAAAGGCTATTTAAAAAATAAACGTGATGTCTTTCTGTAATTCCAGCCAAATACTTCATGTAGGCCTAATGAAAAAATCATTTGAACACAACCGCACAAATGCATTGCCCCCGCTAATTAAAAACACATCAGGTCCAGAGGCAATGGAACATACGTTGAGCTGGGTGGAGAGTGGAGGGTGTTTCTGCGGTTTAACAATATCAATCTGTCAGAGTCTTTCATTTGTCATGTTAAAGCTTGTTAAAAGAATTACCCTTTAACAACATTCAAAAATTAAAATGCTATGCAAAGCCCTCCGAATGCTAAACATAAACTGTTAGAAGATGCGAGTCAAAAGGAGGAAAGGAAGAAGATGCTGCAAAACAATCTCAAAGAGAGGCACATTTCCTTTCAGAACACTCCTGGGGATGTTTCTCATCTTTATACCTCACCTGAACATCTAAAGCGCTGAGGTTTTGGACAGAACAGGGTTACTGCACCATCAACAGATGTCAAGGTTTGTCTCAGACAGTTGAGAGAAAACTGGGTCAACTTCTAGGGGTAGATTTCCGCAATTTTCAATCTCTTTGTGAGAGGAGTGCCAGCAGTGAACACAGTGCAGTTGAGCACATCAGAGCAGTGGCGCACAATGTATGCTTGAGCATTTTACAGAGGCTAAATCAGGCTGTGTAAATCCTCCTCCTGCTCCTCCATGCCTGCTTAGAATTTAAGCTTTAGCACCGAGAGAGGAAAAACATGTTGTACAAATGCAGAAATTCACATTAAGTAAATGATAGTTCAGACTCAGATTCAATTTGGATGACCTGCATTCAAAGGTGCGGTTAAAATGCCATTTGAAATTAATGTGCAAGTTGTATCACAGCTGTAAACAGGCAATATAAGAATAATTGTTTATTCTGATTGTGATTATTTACAAACTATTGATATTGCCGTTTTACTGTATCTTTTAGCCTAAGTTTTATAAAAGTAATAGGCTGTTCACAGTAAATGCATTTACATCAGTGTTTCTCAGCCAGGGGCTTCAGGAAACATCTAAGGGGGCCTGCAGATGACTTACAATTATTTAATAAGAAATAAGAAAAAACAACCAATAACAAACCAAAACATCTCAAAATCGAGATTTCTTGTTTAATTCACTTCAAGATTTTTTTTTTTTCCCAAAGGTCTCATGGTCTTAAAAGATTGTGACATTTTAGTCATGGAAAAGTCATGTAAATTAATAAAAAATTTTTAGGAAATGCATACGCATTTTTCTAGTTATGCTAAGCTCTAAAATATTTTCATTAGCTAGAGTAATTGAGAGTAAAAAATACATTTTTTGTCTTATTCTTAATCCTTAACCAGTAAATTACAAACAACTAGAAAAATCATGGGGCCTTTGAATATAACAATGGGGGTCCTGAAGTACAAAAGTTGAGAACCACTGACACAAACATTAACGGTCCACACTAAAAATCACACCAATCCAGTTTTTCCAAGGGATAGCTCAGCAAAAAATGAAGATTCTGTTAGTATTTACTCACCCTCACATCATTCAAAACCTGTGTCACTTACTTTCGTCTATAGATCACAAAATTGGATTTTGTTTCACCAAACAATTTGGTTACCATTGGCTTCCACTGAATGGACAACATTTCTCAAAATATCTTCTTTTATGTTCCACATATGTCGTCAGTCATGCAGGTTTGGAATGATACGAGGCTGATTAAATGATAGAATTTTTATTTTTGAGTGGACTATCAAATTGGACTAACAAAAATGGAAACTTTTACAGATGTGGCAACATGTATCCAACCCTTCACATATTCACAAAAAGCTGCTGTAGCTTGATTATAACAGCACATGTAAAAGTATAAAGTGATTTTACCATGGTAGAAGCCTATGAACACCTCAAACCTGGAGTGGCTTATTGCTTTGATATGTCATTGTGAAAGCACCTGTCGATATTTGCTTTTAAATCTAGGATGGAAAGCTTTGTAATCTTCAGCAGAGGCTGTTTAAAGGCCCACATGCACCACTTTCTATTCCAGCAGGACAAGGATTAAAGCAGTCACATCTCTAAATCCCATTTTGCTCATATGGAGGGACTCGAGGCTCTGATGCATCAAGTGATTTGCTGTAAATTTCACAGCATGGCTTAAAAAGCACGTCTCTCCAGATTAAGCGATGTGCGATGCGCGATACGAATGAGAAAGATACGAGCGTTAAAAGAGCACAATAGGCCATCACAACCGGTAGTGAGGAATGCCTCGGGAATGTCTGAGCACAAAAAATTCATTTCAAAACACAATACCTGAAGCATACATTCCAATACGCTCGCTCGGCGCGCAAACCATGGGTGGTATGAGAGATAGAGATCTGAACACATTCAGAAAAACACCAAATCTATACACAGCTGTGGGCTTCAAAGTGCATTAGATCAGATACGTAAAACGCCCCTGAACGCATCTGTTCAATCTATACCAAGGCTCGAAATTGCGACCATTTTGGTCGCATATGCTCCCGAACAGCTAATATTAACCAATACAAAATCTGCATTAAAGTTAAGAATGTAAGGATAAAATCTGTTAATATATAATTTGTAGTTGTGGTGCTCCTAAATTTTTGGTGAGTGCTCCTAAATTTTTGCTGGTGCTCCTAACATTTTGAAGTTGGGAGCACCAGTGCTACCAAGTAAAAAAGTTAATTTCGAGCCCTGTATACCCCAAAACTTTTTGGAGTGTGCGCATTCTTTCTTTCTCACAAAATACTCAATGCAGTTTCTTCCTTTGTGCACATTCTAAAGAGAATCCATGTTGTGGTTCTCCTGAAGAAACCTTTATTCTGCTGCAAAGCCTGCCATTCAAGAGACACCTGCATGGTGAACACAAAGAGTACCCACTTGCACCAACTCGCAGTAGGCAAAGACAACACTGCGACCCACTATCTGTCTTGCTACCTCAGTCGCAGCTACTTAGAGGTTTCTGCCTATACTGCATTCCTCTCATCTCCTGTGGAAGGCTGTGCTTAACTCCGATTCCCTTTTTATCTTTTTCTTCTGACTGCGCTTGCACTGCGAGGGGGGAAGGGGAATGGAAGAAGGCAGAGAAGCTTTTCAAAGCTGCAGGGATTTACCTGTATTCACGGTTGTCCTGATATCTTTTAGTGCTGGCCACCCGCTGAGGCACGGTTTCCATGAGCAGCTTCTGGGTCAGCCTGTTGCTGGGAGTGGGGTCGCTTTCGTGGTTCTGCTCCTGTTCGCACCGCCATTCCTCGTCTTCGTTCAGAGTTGGCAAGTAGCCCGGCAGGGCTTTGCCGTTGCCTGACACCGAGCTCTGGTCGCTGAATAGTTTGGGACTCTCTCCGCCCGTCCTGGTGTATTCCAAGTATATATCGGACTTTAAAAACAAAGGGTAGCTGTTTTCTTCCATCATAGTCTGAATTTCAGTTTGCGCCTGGTCGAACATGGCAGGATCAATGTGAAGCTTCATCACGCAGTCCTTGATGAAGCTCTTGGTGGCCGGTTTGATCTGCCTGGACACAATTCCATTGTTATCCAAGATGTATTTTTTGTAAATGGCTTTCGCGAGTTTCAGCATCTTCTCATTGCCTTCGTTGGCCTCCTGCTTGCGGAAGCCGCTGCAGGCGAACCAGAAGTCCAGCATGTCGGCACAGTCCTCCTGTTTGAGGAAAGTCCTGAACAAGTGGATGCCATCTTGGTCGTCTAAAAGCGAGTGCAAAGACTCCGCCCACTTCAGGTAGGGTGGCGTTGGGGAAGCGCTACCCTCGGGCTCATAGCCCAGATCCAGGTCGGGTCTTCTGGGTGTAGCTATGGAGGTCTCGTTCTTGAGGCTCTCACTCTTAGACGAGTAAAAACTGTGGCTGTATTGCCGTCCATCTCTGGACACCAGATCGCCCTCCTCCCCAGGGACCGGGGGTCTGGGGGCATCCTCAGTGAAGCTGCCGCCCACGTCGGGCAGATAACAGGCCGTCTCGTTTACGCTCATGCTCACAGTGTCCCTGCACCCTGTCCCAGTACAGCCCACAAGGCAGAAAGTTTATATCCAGGCTTCTATTAATGCCACTGCGAAAGAATTCCTCCTATAAGAGAAGACAGAAAGGCATGGGAAAACATTCATAAACACTTGTCACAATGATGCAGTGTAAAAACAATGTAAAACCCTGTATAAAATAGTGCTGATCAGTTCAAGAACCAAATAACTGATGCAAAGACTTCTACCTGAATGTGGGTGTAACATTTCATATCAACAAACACGAACATATATAATGAGAGAATAACATTACAGAGAGGACAACAGTGTCACCAACAACTCAAATTGATTTCATATAATAGTTTTCTCAGAACACTGGATTTAAGGTGATAAGTCATGTAACACTGTAGCAGATATTTCAAGCAAATCAATAATTTTTGTATCACCTATTGTCACAAGAAGCAAATCAAGCGTATTCCCAACATAAATTCTGCTCATTGCATATAGCATTACAAGATTAGACAAGTAAAGAAGGTTAGTTTGTTTTAAGGTGTCCTAGTTACAATGTAAACAGACAAATATGAATGAACAACATGTATTTACTATAGAGTTAGCTGCTTGCAACTATGCATAATTTACTGTTAGTACATGTGGCGTGTGCCAAGGACACTGTAAAATAATTGTTATCATACAAGAATTGAACATTTTCAACTTTAAAGGAGATACGAGTCAATTACATTGTAATAATAGCTCCAACGGTACACGTTTTGGGCAATTTAAAACCTGTGCATCTAGGTTTAATTAAACACTGCAGGGTTCTACAACCCCATTAAACTTACAGTGGCCTCAGGCATCTATCTTAAAGCAAAGATAGCAAAAAAAGCCAGCCATCGTGGCACAAACACTCACCTGCGACACACTTTACGATCAAGTTCCGACCTTAAAACCTGTGACTGCCTGCCAACTAGATTTCGTCTCATGTTCTTGATAAGCGAGCTAAGGGGTTAAGAAACCTTGAGCTTTCCTAGTCAATAACTTTACCAGCGCGAACTTCAATGGCGATGAGCTAGCAGGCTAATCCAGCACAAGATGCGAATTTATAAACATTTTACGCACACTAATGCTGTAGTTTAAAAGCAAAGCCCCGCTAAACGCCCCTAGTGCTAACCTAGGGAGACTACTAGCTAGCTACAAAGCAAAACATGCCGTGATAAGATAAAAACATAAATAGAGCGAACATCAACCGCAATCAAAGAACGTAACGCGCGAGGAGCGGAAGTACGTGCGGCGCGACACCTTCCCGAACAAGTGAGCAAAGATGGTGAAAAACACTTTCACCATCTTTGAGTGTACGGGCCGACATTTCTAGCGAGCTTGTTCTACTGATCCGACTCAACTAGTGTGAGAACACGTTGTCACAGCACGCTAGCCATCTTTAACCGCTACAAACGCCAAAATATCCGATCATCCCATTTACGCACGGGAAAAAAACGCGGCCATCTAAAAACGGCTCGCGTTCGCTGCGTTTTTCCTTCGCTGACGGCATTACAACACCCCTTTTGCTGCCCTCACGATCTGCTTTGAAGTGAGCCCCACATTCATCGCATTCATGTCTCGGCCTCAGCAGCAGCAGCAGCGGATGGGGGAGGGGAAAGTAAGAAACAAACTCCACACACACACACACACACACACACACACACAGCCAGGCCCTTCCGCAGCCCAGGGACTAGTGTGCAACTTTGCAACACTGATTTTCGCACTCCAACACGCGCCGATAACCCGAGCGCGAGAGCTTTATAAGCGCGTCTCCGACCTCGCGGAGGATTCGAACGCGAGCAGCGAAAAAGCGACGGTGCATTTCATCTCTCTCTCTCTCTCTCTCTCTCTCTCTCTCTCTCACACACACACAAACACACACACACACTCCGCTACCGCAAACCCCCATTACACCCAAGCCAAGAGGAGGGAAAAAAAAGTGTTCCGTACTGTACCTGTGAGAACCTACTTTCCGCTTTCGAGCGCATCGGGAATAGCGTTGTATGCGGCGAGGTGCGAATCGTGTCATCGATGCGGATCTCGGAGTTTAAAAATAACAAAGAAAACAGTCGCTTCTCCACCTCTCCATGGCTGTCTCTCACACTCCTGTGCAGATGTGCAGCGCCGCGCCCGGCCAGAAATCACACTGCCGCCTGGAGAAAGAAAAAAGGGGAGGGGGGATGAAGGCGAGGAAACCCTGGAGTGTGTGAGGAGCGCCTTCGATTCACTTCCACTACGCCGTAAATGTGCTCTCAGAAATACGTTTAGCCAATTAAACCATTTAGAGGTGAACAGCGCCTCGAGGAATATAATTAAAACGATATAGGCACGAGGAGATAAGCTAACAGTCTTCTAGAAAAAGCTGTTTGATTCTACAATGAGCAGGTCGCCCCCTCATGGACGCCGCCATGTTGACATCACATGACCTGCCGAGTCATATAGTTTACCAGTTGCTACTAGTACTACTTATAATATTGCTTACTTTTCACTTGATCTAAACCAAACAAGCATACTGAATAATATAGAACCAAACCTAGTCTGCACTGTAAGAAAACAAACAAACTGTTGGAAGATGTACAGGTAATTTTCTGCTAGGGGCATTTCTAGCCTTTCATCAGTAGAAAAAAAGTGTGCCCATATTTTGGTACTCTTCTTTAAAGGAACACTCCACTATTTTTGAAAACCAAGGAACTTTGCTGCCGTACCATGGGTGCAGCATGAGCCTATTTTCAAAAATAGTGGAGTGTTTCTTTAAAGCTGCAGTCCGTAACTTTTGGTGCTCTAGCGGTTAATAAACAGAACTGCATGCGTCTTGTGGAAGAACATTGTAGCCGGAGCTACTTCTCTCTGTTATGTCTATGACGAATCACGCAGGTACTGGGCTACTCCGCAGCGGTACCTACCCGAACCAGTCTAAAATAGTCCGAATATAAACATTTATTATAGGTGTACTGTAGGGATTCTGGATAAGCCAAAAACACGGTTTGGAAAATGGATTAATGGTGTACTTGCTTATTATATAAATGTTGTTAATTTTGAACACAAAAAAGTTACGGACTGCAGCTTTAAATTGTGTTTTGGATGTAAATGGATATGAATCATCTTTACCTGCAGTATAATGTTGCTGCATACGCAATAAAGAGCTTCTTCATCGTTGTTTCCTGCAATGGTAAATATTGACCTCATCCAGTGCTCTTTTAGTTTTTTCTCTTATAAAATATCCCATTACTATTGTGATGTTAGAAACCGCTGCAAGCAATTCAGTGCATGAGTAAACTGTCCTAATGAATCAAACTGAATCTTAAACCATTTTAGACCTTTATGCAAACCTGTTTGGCCGATTCGATCAAAACAGTGATTCATTCACAAATCTGGCATCACTTGTTCTGATTCTAAACAGCTCATAGAAAGCACTGATTGCTGAAATATAAGAAAAAAATGATTCACAGGTCAGTGTCTTTACATAAGCATTTATCAGTAATATTTCACTGGGGCACAGTGGTATTTTAAAAAAGGTCTAGTGACGCCCCTGGCCAGGACAAGTTTACAGACATTTCCTTTAACCCTTAAGCAAAACACAATGCAATGCGTAATTCGAAATATGGGTAAAACACCTGCGAAAAATCAATATGAAAAATTCCTTCATATTAACACAGTAAATAGACGTTAAACAGGGTAGAGCCATATTTAATATTTGACAGGACTAAAAACGAGGCTGTGAGAAGTGCATTATGTTCAATAGATTGTACTGTTCTTTAACAACATACAAATTGTTGATGTAACATCTTTCCAAAAGACTTTAAGTACAACATTTTTTTTGAAAGTTGTGAGTTTTGAAAACTATATGTGATCTAGGACCCTTATACAGGGCATTGTACAGACTGCAAATCTATACAATGCACCCTCTTTTTCATCCACATAAAATCCAATATGGCATCTACCCTGTCTGAAGTCTATTGGGCCCTATTTTACTGATTTAGTAAAACTTAATGAACCTATGTACTGCAGACACAATATTACAACAGTGCCTAAATCCAACAGTGTAGTCTTGAGTGATCAGCGTGTGTGAAATCCACTAGTTATAAAAAATATCCAAACAAGCAATCATTCCCTGCTACAGTGATGAAACATAAGCAATGACCTCCAGCTTCCATATACACAGACCAAGGATAAACAGCAGGGCTTCAAATGAGTGGAAATTCACAACAGTCACAACTGCTACACTGCAAAATGTCTCCAGAACCACCAACAACATGCAAAAAAATCTTGAGAGTGAATGCAAGAATGTGCATTGTATGAATGTGTGTAGTATAAGACACAAAATAAACAGCCGAAAAGGAACAAAACAATAGATAATTAAACCGCTTTAGTGTGAAGAGGCAGCAGTTAGCAAACAAACTTCATCCAAACTGATAAGTCAGCCCAAAACCACACTGAAAGCAAACAAAACCATTCTGAGTGCACCTCTAATATCTATTTTGTAAGCATTCTGCAGATGTGTCAGTCTGTATGATTTAGACTCAAGGACAGGCCTGTATGTATGCACAGCTGTATGCATGTTGATTAGTACAGTCAGAGTGGACTATAACCTTGAGGAAGTTGTCTCAGTTTTCCATCTGCAATGTCACTGACACACATTTCATGGCTCTGCCGTGACAGCTTGGACACGCTATCTGTTTTTAATTATTTCCAGCTATCAAGGTGCTGTAATCTAACAAAGTTTGCCAGGTAAGTGAATCCCTTCCTTGTACAGAAAGTTCCTTTTGTGTGCAATATACAAATATTGTTTACACATAAAGTTCTTGTTCAAATTTCAATTAAACATACAAAAAAACCTAAAATCAAATAAAATCCCCAGCCTGAGCTTAACACAGTAAAACATGAGAAACCCGAGTATGAAAAAGCCTCCACAACTCTCTCAGTGTGAGTAGAGATTAGAATCAAGGTACATTTCGCATTGTATCTGTCCATCTGACAAAAGATGAAAGCAACGTGGTAAAAGAAAGAATGCAGGAGATTTAAACACTGTTCTTTTCTTTCAGTCATGAAAAAGCATGCAGCAGGAAGTATGTATCTTTATAATCCTGCTCAAGAATGTTTTTAAAGTCTTACAAACTTTACAGATTGGACTGGAAATACAAATATCCTCTGTCCCATTTTTAGCCTTTTGAAGGCAAGAAATATTTCATCAGAGTGGACATAGACAGGCGAACATTACACGTGAGAGTCAAAACCTCTGCAAATGATATGCAGAAGGTAATTCTGGATTTATTTATGAGTTAGATCAATGAAGGAATTCACGTCTTATGACTTAGAACAGGCCGTATAGTGTTAAAGGACCTGCCTTTGAAAAAATTAGCAGGCCTTAAAGATGAATATTACTTTGTATGCTCTGAACCTCTGAAGTTATGACTCAACACCTGGATATAATCAGGCATGTAATCTCATGGATTCATTGCAAAAAGATCAAAGGCCTTTGGAATGAATTTGGCTCTGTTCCTCCTTTTTATGACTTTATTTGATTAGCTCATCTGAAAATGAAAGAGTGGTTTGTGTGGAACCATGAATTTAATGACATATTACAAATTGCTCATGGGAAATCAAGACTGGGTGTAGTTAGGCATTCATCTTGGAATTTGACACACCTTAACTTTCACAAAAGAACATTAAAGGAACATTTGTCATGGTTTGCCATGAAATTTTGATGACCATGCCAAATATTTTATTAGTATACAATAAACACTGCTGTTCAAACGTTTGGGTTTGGTAGGATTTTTATTTTTTTTGTGATTTTGAAATTAGTTTTATATGCTCACCAAGGCTGCATTTATTTGATCAAAATGCAGTTAAAACAGTAATATTTTGAAATATTATTACAATTTAACATTGCTGTTTTATATTTGAATATACGGAGCCCCGCACATGGCATGCAGGAAAAAAATAGTAGGCTAAATCGTGCGCACGATTTACTATTCCATTCCCTCGATTTATAAATTGTGCGCACTATTTACTAATTCGTTCCCTCGATTTGCTAAGTCGTGCACACTCGTGTGCACGTTTTAGTACATCGAGGGAACGAATTAGTAAATCGTGTGCACGATTTATTTATTTTTTCTTGCATGTCATGTGCGGGGCTCCGTATGAATATATTTTAAAAGGTACATTATTCCTGTGATGCAAACAGTTAAACAGTTGTGCTGCTTAATATTTTTGTGGAAACTGTGATACATTTTTTCCAGGATAATCTGATTGATAAAGTTTTGTAACTTTGTAACTTTATAAATGTCATTACTGTCACTTTTGATCAATTTAACGTGTCCTTGCCGACCAAAAATTGTTAACAAAAAATGTTTTACTGACCCAAAACCTTTACATGTGTGTATATATATATATATATATATATACAGGTGCTCATCACAATTAAAAGAAGCAAAGACTTAAACTACTTCAGTCTGTGTGCATTGAATTTATTTAATACACGAGTTTCACAATTTGAGTTGAATTACTGAAATAAATGAACTTTTCCACGACATTCTAATTTATTGAGATGCACCTGTACTGTAAATAAATTTGTTAGCAATTCCTAACTATATATCTGCACTTCACTTTTGTTTTGTTCCCATACTTCAGTTAGTTAATATGAATGAAAAGGTAAATGCATTACCTGAGGAAGTGGTAGGTTTCTGTCTTG